CCATTCATTTCACTGACCATTTGGAAGATGCCAGCATTCTAGGGATTAATGAGATTTTTCTGGGCTTTTTGTTGGTACATCATTGCTCTAACAACTGGCCATCTTCCCATTCACTAAACTAATTGTGAATGTTCAGAATTAAAGCATGAATGAACAATGCTCAGGGTTGATTACAAACGCATAAAAGTGGGGAGAGGCTGTGAACCTGCACCATTGATGCTAATGGGAGCAAGACTGAGGCCTTAAAGTGGCTATGGTATTGGTCAACTGACCTGTCAAGACCACACCAGGGATAATGCTGCTAAACAAATCTGCAAATATTTGTAGGCATGTTTTAAATGAATTTGCATTGGCCCTATCCATGCGTTAGCTTCCTGTTAACATTTGTGCAATGGAGTGTTACTTGCACAGACGCTCATGGAAAGTAAATTTGAGCTTATGTGACCAGATATTTGCAGAAACGTGCAAAGCACCAAACTATAAAGTGACCTGGTGAGAGTAGAGCAATGGGGGATGCAGACAATGAGAGGAGAGTAATTCTGACTCAAGGTGAAGTCCTACATAGTGGCACAGAGGAAATAAACAACAAAGACATGCAGTGGGGATGAAGGATCAAGCGGCAACATCCATCCCATTAGAGGAAATATACTTTCATCTTGTCTCCTTACTGGTGTCCTGATGGAACTTTGCCATATAACTAAGTTCTCCATTTGCTGTAGGGCAGAGCTGGGCCTGGGTGGGGAGGTGTACGCAGGAGCAGTTTGTTTTAAGTAATCCATGGTCTGAAGCAATTTGAGAATCAATGTTCTAAAGAATTTTCCTATTGAGTATTGAGCCTGCTAAAATATTGGCTTCTCCTCTAAGGTGGCGCAAACATGTCAGGTCACGAGCATGGTATAACTGCCTTTGCAGAAGACTGCAGCCAGAGGGGGGGGGGAAACTGAAAGCAGCGGAGAAGTAAGTAGGAAAATAAGTGAGAAAACAGAGGTGAACAGGGGCATGTGAGGATGCTTGGGGTGTCCTGGCTCTCCTCCCCCCCCCCCCCAGAAAAGTGACAGTGACTGTCAGTGTTTTACTAATGAATTGAATGAGCTTGGTACTAATAGTTTAAGGGATGACTTCATTGTTAATTCAGCTGGGAGACCCAGATTTGTAAACAGGCCTAGGCCCTGAGCCAGCAAGCGTGAAAGTGTCTACAGTCTCTGGAGAGAAAGGATGCTTTCTTCTCATTGCTGTAACTCATCAGTTTCATGGCAGTGGCATCTCTTCTAATTACAGCCGTTCCCCATTCTTTCTGCCAGGGTGAAGGTTAAGCAGTAATTGCAGTGGCAAGCAGAACACTGGAATAACTGCCTGCTCTGGAACTAGCATCGGTTGTTGGCTTGGGCTGAGTAAACTTAGCTGCATTGGCTATGTGTGTGTGTCAGTCTCTGCTGACTTAGATGAGATCTGGGGAAGGGGATGGGAAGGAAACAGAACTAAAATGGGTTCTGAAATGATGCATGTGACCAAGATGGGTGTAATTGTATGGAAAAGCACTTAATTATGATTTCCTCTGAACGTTTTGTGTTCCATAGTATCCATCTTATGACATTAGGTTGCAATAAGAAAAAAACCTAACTGAATAGTAAGATTCTGACAAACCGAGACCAGCCATCATTCAAGCTGCTATTCCATCCTTGCAGGACATTGGATAGAATACTCTGCCGCAATGTTCTACAAACATCCATTAACTAAGCCTCCCAACAGCCCTGGGAGGAGGGTGAAGGTTATTTTGCTAATGGGTGAGCAGAGGGATGGAGACAGTCAGGCCCATACTTTCAAAAGTGGCTTGTTTGGATGCCCCAGTACTTGGGTCCCCAGATTTAGCTTCTTAAGGCCTTTCCCTGTGAAGTGCTGAGCACCCACCATTCCAAAGTGAAGCTTGTGAGACCTCTGGACCTGTGAAGAATCAGGCCCTTGGTGTCTAAAATCAGGTACCCCAAACTGGAGGCCACTACTGGAAAAGTCACCTTGTGTGTCTTACACAGTCACACAGTGAGTTAGAGCAAGAGGTGGGAATGGAGTCCTGACTTCCCTTTCTCTGCTCCAACCACTAGACCCCTTCCCTCCCAATGGAGAGAATGTTATTTCCATCGATATAACAATGACCATGGGGAGACTTTGACCCTGATCCTGCAAACAGGTACACACATGTTGAACTTTTAAATACGTGAGAAATCCCATTGAACTCTCTAGCACTACGCAGATGCTTAAAGTTAAGTGTTTACAGGATTGGATATTGCCATTTGCCTAAGTTGCATATTGCCATTTTCTAGCACTCCAGGGATTCTCAGTAATAGGAGCATGTAGATCATGCTCCTAACACGTAGGCTATCTGCTTTCAGCGGTGTATATACCTGCTGTTGTCATCTCCCTCATTCTAATCAATCTCACTCTGTAGTGTTTTTCAGAGGAAAAATTGCTACCACCTTGTTTTTAAATGTGCTATAAATAGATAGGTTTTCATAACTAGAGGGCAAGCTCTAGAAGCCAGTAGTTTTTCTGAATTGTTATATAAATGGCCTTTCCCCTTTTTAATCAAATAAGTTTAATGCCAATTAAAACCACAGGTAGTTTCCTGGGAACTAGAGCTGGTTGGAAAAGTTTAATATATAAAACTTTCTGCAAAAATAGTTTAGATTTAATTTTCCAGCTAGCTCTACTAGAAACTCTACTTTCTATTACTATGGATCACCTGTAGGACTGACATGGACAAGCAGTGCAATTCAGTGGATAGAGTATCAGACTGGAGCCAGCAATTCCTGAGTTCTAATCCTGACTCTCTACATGGACTCACTCTGTGAACAAGTCACTGCCTCTTCTTGTACCAAAGGTCTACGTTGCACTTTCGCTGGTAAAACTTTTTTCAGTCAGGGGCATGAAACAACACACCATAGCCAACAAAAGTTTTACCGACAAAGTGCCAGAGTGGACAGTGCTTTATCAACAGGAGATGCTCTCTCGCCAACAAAGCTACCACCCCTCGTTGGGGGTGGTTTTATTTTGTCAGCAGGCGAAGTCTCTCCTGCCGACAAAAAGCAGGTACACTGCGTACCTTACAGTGGTACTTCGTAGCCGCACAGCTGTGCGGCTGTAAGGTGCACAGTGTAGACATACCCTTAGTTTTCCTGTCTGTGAAATGGAGGTAATAATACTGACCTACCCTGTAGCGCCTTTGGGATCAATTCAATGTCAGATCTGTAGTGCCATGCTTTAGAATAGAAGTTCTCAATATTTATTTTTATTATATTGGCCCTAAATGAGGGTGCATCTTACTTAGACGCTTTCTTTGGGAAATGAGATCTCAATCTACCTTTTTCTGTTTGGAGTGTTGAAAGGAACATATCTATTTAGGTGGCTATACTATGAATATAAAATACCTAGTTAGGAGCCTCTATGCCACTGGAACACCAACAGACTCCTGACTTCAGTGACACAGCCAGGAAACTCTTGGACTCTCTTGGTACCTCTTTAAAATCCAGTTTTGGAGGTGGGCAGCTTGCTTTCTTCCCTGCTTATCTTCATCATGCACAAATATGTAAATCATCTGTCTCTCTCAGCTCATTCAGTGATACTGCTTCCATGGGCTGGCACCCCATCAGCACTTGCAACAAGTATTGAGTTTCAAATGTACTTTGCTGCACGCACGGTTCCAACATTTATTTTACAGCTGGAAGTGTCCCAGATCTCGTAGCGTTCTCAGTTGTGTTGCAGAACATCCTGATTCCAAGCACACGCTTCCAACAGACTTGTATTTTCTCCGTATTGCTTACTCTGCTTTTTTATGGCCACCCGATGTCACTGACTACAGCAGCAGTATCGTGTATGGTGACATTTTTCTCCTTCTCTGCAGTCCCTTGGGCCACATCCCTGCAAACAGAGCCATGCAGGATCTCATGGACTTTGGTAGGGCTCCACACAGGTGTGAGAAACCATCTGTGTAGATAAGGGTCCAAATTAGGATGCAAGAGACAGAACATCTGCAGGCTCCAGGACTAAAACTGGAGAAATCTCCTAACTTTGAGTGAATCTTACATAGAATTACTATATAGAAGGATGGGAGTAACTGGTCTATTTAAAAAAAAAAAAAAAAAAGCCAACCCTATTGTTACTCACAGGGAATATGGGGTGCTCTGCACACATCTGTAGATCTCCTCTTTGCAGCTGTTCAGGTTCACTGATGTTGACATCAAAGAGGTGTTAATTGAGCAAGGGCATTAATGTAGTAGGTTATTATATATTCAGGGAAACTTGCAACATCTTCTAAAGAAGCATATCTTTATGACTGAAAATACACTAAACAAGCCACACAGCAAGGGTCATTTATTTTAAAAGGTTTGATTAACTATCTTTAAGAAACTGTGGAAAGTAGGGCCCTGTCAAAACACAGGCCCTACATTTTCAAAAATGACTAGTTTGTTTTGGGGAGGCTGATTGGTTGAACACCTGGACCCTCAAAATCCGGCCCCTTTAAGGTGTCTCAGGTTGGCACTCCAGATCACTAGTCACTTCTGAAAATACAGGCCGCTGGATGGATAAAGTAGAAAACAAAGTTCCCCTGGGCAGGGGCACTAACTGCCAGCCCCTTGATTTAGGGCCTCCTTGCTGTTGGCACCCACTCCTGACTCCTCCCATCTGTGGGGTAAGCCTTTATCTCACCTTCTATCTTTGAGGCCTAAAAAACCCAAATCAACCCCTGCGTTGTTAGCCTCCAGCAGTTTCCAGCACAGTGAGGAACGCTGCAATCTCCTACCATTGAATTATTCTTGCTGGGGAATCTTATTAAACCTGAGCAATGAAGCAAAGGTAGTTGGTTTTCCATAGCACTCTCCTAACGTTGTTGATGGCTCTTATAATATTAAGAATAGAGATGGATGATTTGATTGCATCTCTAAGGAAAAGTTAAGCCTTTATTGAGTGCACAATGAATTAATTAAAGCTTGTATTTCCTCCTCCAGACAGAACCTAACAATGATGACTATCTCTCTGAATCGGAGAAAATGGCTATGGATTTAAAAGATCCAAACCGTCCAAGATTTACTCTACAAGAGCTACGGGATGTCTTGCATGAGCGGAATGAACTGAAGTCTAGAGTGTTTTTGTTGCAGGAGGAGCTTTTATATTATAAGAGGTGCGTTGGATCCCACTGTTGGTATTGCTACCTCTGCCTTCTCCATTGTGCTACTCCTGGAGAGGCACAGAATAGAGAGAAAACAGAGGTTGAATCTCAAAACTGAGTGTCCGCTTAGTCTCTAAGAAATGGCAGCGGATTCTTGGCTTCCCTAAGACAATGTAAAGATGGCTCCAAAATCTGGTTCATATTTGAATTTTCACCAAGTTTTGGGAGGAGTTTGGTTCAGGATCATCCCTAATTTTAATATTCCCCAAAACTTGTGACCTCTCAATAGTGAAAATTTCAAACAAATGCATACTTTTAAAAGGGAGAGAGATTGTTAGCGCCTGTTTAAAAATAAATAAATATTTTTAAAAAAACAGAAAATGGCCTTTTGAGAGAGATGGAAATATTTGCAATTTTTTTTTCTTCATTTTCTTTCCTCCCTTTCTTTTTTTAGTGGCAAAATGGAGGAAAAGAATCTGGGGAAGGGAATTGAAAACTCCAACAACCAAAAATCTTAGTTTAATTTTTTTTTTTCAAATGAGCAACAAATCACTCCTTTCCATACCTGCAGAACAAGATCTGGCTTGAAATTACAACAAAAAACAACCACACACCCTAACTCTTTCGATCAGCTCTTTGTTTGTTTGTTTTTGTGTGTGTGTATGGTTTTTTTTTTTTTAAACTTTCATGTAGGGACATATTATTTACTTACACTCATTTAACATTCTCAGCAAAGCTATATGGGGTCTATATGCCCCTGGGACAGGATGCAGAGCATTTCACTTCTAGTCACTAGCTAAAATCTACTCCTCAGCACGTGGCGACTGCCCAAAACATATTGCCATCTGATGCCTGTTCTGTGGCCCAAGGGCAGCGAGGTGTTGGTCGCAGTTCAGCACCCAGTGGAGAAGTGCCAAAATCATAAAACTATCGTAACCATTGCCATTAGCATGCCAGTGATTCCAGTCTCCTCATAGAGGCCAAAGACTGAATGGGCCCTGAAGACAGAAGAGCTTAGCCTCCCCTTACAGGAGCTCTGTTGATACCATCATTTGAGTATATCAGTAGGGGGAAGACTGTCTTGCTGCTCCCCATGCTGCACCTGTTCTTTGACTAAACCAGGGACTCCTGAGCTGTCAAGCCAGCACTTATGCATCAACATTTAAAAAAAAAAAAAAAAAAATCACATAGTCAGTTTTCCTCTCATAAACAGTGGGATCCATTAAACTCAGCCTGTCGCTCTCCAGGGATTGCTGTACACTGCACAGCAATATTCTGTCCTGTTCTGAGTTTAAAAAGCTACTGCAGGTACTTGGGTTACTTGAATGTTGAAGTTTTTTTTAATGCAGGCAATATTGTAGCCATGTCAATCCCAGGATATTAGAGAGACCAGGTGGGTGAGGTAATATCTTTTACTGTTCCCATTTCTGTTGATGAGTGAGTCAGACTTACACAGAAGTCTGACACTTTTAATCACTGCATATAATTAACCCTACAAATCCTCCTCACGTGACTGTTCTAGAACTCCTCTTTTAACATGGGTGACTTGAATTTGAAAGAGTATTGTAAATTAAAAGAAACTAAGGGCCTTATCCACTGCTGATGCAAAGATTGCCACTGACTTTAATGGGTTTGAATCGGCCCCTCCAGTTCCTTTTAGTTTACAAAGTTTGTTCAGATTCATGAAACTCAGGGTGTGATCCAAACCCACTAAAGTTAGAGGGATCTTTTCATCTGTCATGGATCAGGCCCTTGGTTTCTTTTAATTTACAAAACTCCCTCAAATTTTATTTTAAATTCATTCAAAATAATGAAAGAACTAAAACTTAACCGTATTTTTTTTTTCTCAAAGTGAGGAAACAGAAGAAGAAACTAGATCCCCTCAACCTACACCCATAATTAATTCAAAAACCTCAACTCAGCCAGAATCTGGAATCAAACGACTGTAAGTAGCATTCTCTTCCAAAGATCTTGAACTGGGCATGTTTCTTGGGGGAGGGGGTAATTGGGTTGGTTTTAGTTCTGGTTCCCCGCCCCCATTAATCTTCATTTAGTGATATCATATGCACATGTGTTTGGAAATAATCCTATAAAAATCAGTATTATAAAAACACATTTTATAGGTTTTATTAAACAAAACAGAACATAGTGCTGATTTAATTCTCAGTGACTTCCTATCTCTGACAGGTTCCCTTCACACACTTAATAGAGAGAGGAATAAGTGTTCTGTGCACTTCTATTTATGGTACAGATAAACTGAGCCTATAACCTTCAGCTCCATATAAAAATGGTGCCTGCACTTACATAGTGCCCCCCACTGGATGATCTTGGGGGCTGATCCAAACTCCAGTAAAGGTACCTGGAGTGTTTCCATTGACTCCAGTAGGCTTTGGCTCATGCTATTTAGTGCGTAAGAATGGGCCAGACTTCAGACTTGTTACTTTGACGCTTTATTTTGTATTTGAAAATTATACTTTGAGTTTGGCATTTGGATTACTTTTCCTCATGATTATGGTTCTGATGCCCTACTTTTTTATAACACTTATGAGAAGAGCATGTCCTGTTTGGACTATGGGTTTATCTTGTATGTTCATCTCCATCATAGATGTTCTGTTCCTGTACTACTGTTTAGTCCTTCACTTTATTTAGCTTGAATCCCCATTTGTGGGGAATGGCCCCATAACCAATACAATGGTGACTGGAACTTATGGGTTGGGTTTATTTTGAGCAAAGGCAGAACAAAATTGTAAACTGACCACATTTTGTTGCAATGCTAACTGGACGTTATTTGCTTCTTGCTCTCTCTGGTTCTAATATACATAGGCAGCATAGGGAGTCATGGCAGGAGAGCATGGATATTTGGAGTGGCTGTCTCGCTGGGTTCTTCCTTTATGATTTTTCTGGAGTGCTCTGGAACATATGTTGGGCAGCTGGCCACTTAATCAAGTGGAAAACTACTAGACAAATATTCAGATTTTTTTTTTAATCATCTTGCCCTTTAATTTATCACCCATATCTAAATATTAGTAAAAGTTAAACCCATTGTTTTGACTTGTTCCCTTCTTTCAAAAACTCCTTTCACATTTTAATAAATTCACATACTGTCATCTTGAGCATAGAGCTCTCCTGCCTATTCTTGCCAGGATATGGAACTGTGTACCAAACCTGCTATCCATGGGAACTGGCTTTCTTGTCAACTGGCACTCTCATCACGTGTGTGTGTTTGTTTGTTTTTGTTTTTTTTTTTGTTTTCCCGCCCCTGCCTCTTGCAGGGGTAGGTGGGGGGAAATGGGATCCTTTTTTTATTTGTATTTTGGTTAAATTGGGGAGAATTCTTTCCTTATCGTAATTTAACCAAGACGACAATGGTACTTGAACTTTTTTGCAGCCTCCCTAGACATAACCCATCTGTCCTCATGATCTCTCTCATGGCACCAGCAGTCCTCCGTGGCTGGGGCACTGTCTGCAGTCCCGAGTTGGGGGGCACTCCAGGACTTCAGCAGTCCCCATATAGGCCAAGGTTTTGCGGGGGGGGGAATATGTGATTGCCTGAAATGAAAGGAAACCGAATGGCTGGGAAAGAAAAAGGCCCCCATTTCAGTGTCTTCTCCTGCAGCTGCCACTTTACAGCCCCCCCCCCCCCCCCCCACTCAAGTACCAGAAGGAGATGTAACACAGCCCAGGTAGCCAGCTGCTTCTTGGGCAGGTGAGAGTTAGGGATACAGTTTATCCCTTGAGCTGACAGATCTCTCCTGCTCCAGGCAGACTTTCAGCACCCTGAGACTATAGCCATTTAATTACCAAAATAGTAAATAAATCCCATTATCCCCATTTTACAGATGGGGAAGTGGAGGCAAAAAGAAGATGCAGCCAAAGTAATAGACCAAAATACCACAGCTTTACCCTAGTGATGATGCAGGGCTGGGAGATGCAACTGTGGCTGAGGGAGCCTTAGTCAGATTTAGGATCTGATCCTGCAAGGTGCTGAGTCTCTCCTGTGCTCTAGGTCTCATTGCCAGTGGAAGTTTTGGGCACTAGAACTGCTCAGCACCTTCTAAGATCAGGCCCCAAGTCACTTGCTTAAAACCATAGAGGGACACTGTAACTACAATATTCTAGTGTAAGCTCTCCAAACTTGCAGTAGCACTGGGATAAGATCTAATAGATTAAAAATGCTACCTTAGTATCCTTTGGAACAGAGCCAGGATTAGAACTCTGACATTCTTAGCTGTCACTCCTGTTTTCAGACTGTCTCCCTCTCTCAACAAAGCTTAACTACAAACATACAGATTTATTGCCATTCTCTTAGGAACAGCTGTATGTCCGCCTCTTTAAAACACACCTTTCCCTTCACTGTGAATACAGTATTATAAGGACACCAGGCATAGTCTCTGCCATCTTGGATTTGCTCATGCAACTGGTGAGTTGCTGCATTTGCAAACAGCTAAGGGAAATAGAAGTTCTGAAATCTCTATATATAATTTTTCCTCCCTGGAATTACAGCTTGATTTTTAGATTCTCTACAAATTTAAAGGGGCACTGATCTCCTGAGATCACCTTGATTTACTAGTAAGTGTGTGTCTACTCCTCTATGGCCAAGTGTGAGGAGAGAATATCTGTCGTCAGCTAAAAGGGGATACTTGTGCGGAAAAAGCACCAGCACTGGAATTAAACATGCTGGCTCTATTTTGTTTGTATGCTGTACTGCAAAGACTTTTTTTCTTTCCTTTGAGTACCACACTTGTTTGTTCAATATAGTGCCTGAAGTAGTCTTACATCTTGATCTGATATCTGATCTCTGCAGCTAACTGAGTGGGCCATGGCGTGTAAAACTAGAAGTCTGAGCTACGATGAATAATATAACAATGTTTGCTTTGTTTGAATCCAAGAATAGCAGCTACAGCAGCTGTGTTAGGAAGGCTTCCAAGCTGCATTAGGTCACAAGTGAAATGACTCTGGTGATCTCAACTTTATCCTTAACTGACATTAGTCCACAGCACAAAAATAAATTGGCCACAATTGACAGTATCTGCAGAGGAGAATCCTTAGAACAGCAGAGGGTGTTGCAGGTATGGATGAAGATGCTTTCTGTGGACCAGTCATACTAGCCAAAGCGCTCTCATGTTCAGGTTTTTTGAGCACCAGAGCGTACCTCCAAGTTGCATGAATTGTACGATGCGCAGTAAAAGGGCTGAACGCTTACAAAGAAACTACGTCACAGCAAGTCGGCTAAAAGAATGTTTCTTGTAGCATAGCTGCAAGGCTTTGAAAGCAGTATTCTAGCTGCCTGTGGTTCGCATTTCTGCAGGCGTATTGATGCAGAACCTCTCGGAAGAGAGACGTGGGCCCTTTTTAACCAAGTAGAAATGCAATGGGGTGGGCTGGCTGGCTGGTTGGTTTTTTAACTTGACAGCGTCCGTTTGGTCACTTGCAATACCCTGAAACCTGTAAAATGGATCGTCTCTAACCCTCTTTCCTATGCCGATGCCCATGGGGAAGCAGTAACTATTGGTAGAACACTGTTTGTATTTCTTAACATCCACCTTCATCCCTCGCTTCACCGCTCTGTATGGGCCGGCTTCTTTTACAGACCTGTAACTGGAGAACCAAGGTGCTCTCATGCTCTGCATTGCTAGAGATTATAATCCCTTGGTGAAGTTACACCAAGGCTGTGTGCTGCATCCCTGTAGAAATCTGACCCCTCCGTTATCAATATTTTTTAAGATGGCATAAAAACCAGGTCTTAATTACTAATTTCTCTAACCCAGAAGTGCCAGTGAGCAGCTGTCTTGGGTGATGCACATTTTTCTCTCTAACTAATCCCATGTGTGATAATTCAAAGTAACCCTACGTATCTTTTATGGAATGTCTTATTGATTACTCCAGTCTTATCTCTGTGCCTGTACTTTTCTGACCAGGATCTTTACAGCCATAATGCCCATGGTAGCAGCTGGATTGATTCCAGATGATCCCACATTGCAGCCAATAAGAAGACTTGTGTCCCTTGTAGGAATTTTTTTTAAATGTTTTGTACGTGGGTTTTTTTTGTTTGTGTTTTTTTTTGGGGGGGGGGGGGGGTGTTCTTTTTTGGTTTGGTTGTTTTTTGCATGACCCTCATGTATTTTTAATATAAACTGCTGGCTGCATTCTTATTGGCTGACTATAGGATCACAAACTCAAAAGCTGCCAATCAGAATGATCAATCAGTACATATTCATTTCAATATCTGAATGCTCAGTTTTGAATATTCTGTTCCATCACTTTGTCTTAGTTACCATGCTAAACCAATTTGTCCATTAACCATTAAGAAATTAATTCAATAAGAACATTTTAACCATTTGTTAATTTTGCTTACTAAACCTGTTTGTTTTAGATCTACCATGACAAGTGCTTTTTAAAAACTGTAATTTTATTGACCTGCTACAAATTAATTCTACAGAATATAATAGCTGATATCTGTGCTAACTCCTAGTGTTTACTTATAGGTTGTCATTTACATGTCTGAGTACATGTTCATTGTGGGTTTTGGTCTCCTATTATGTGCTCCACACTATCCAGATTTGTACTTAAAACAAGTTCTACAACTATGTTCTTGGCTATGTCAAAAGAGGGCATTGATTACTGCTAATGCAAGCTCTTATTGAATTTTGATTTGATCTTATGGTGGTCATGTGAAGTGACCATTCTACTGCAGGCTGCAAAACCGTTTTCATTCTAAATTCCTTCCCTTCCCACACAGAAACTTGTAATCTTTCGAAACATCCAACTTTTAGACTGAGAATTTCCATGCTTTCTTGGCCCAACAATGACACTCCAAGTTTACCAAAATTTCTTCAGCTGGATTTAGAATAAATAGTTTATATATAAAATATCCATTTTCCTACATCATAATTTGAGAGTAACTCAAATGGCTAAACTTTAACCCTTGAAACTTAGCATGTAAATGCAGCTGTCGTCACTGAAGAGTGTGCTTTACTAAACTTGAAAAACATTAGTTATGAACATTTGAAAATGCAGGAACAAATATGCACAGGGGAAAGCCCTAGTTAGCAGTGCACTTATGCCAGGAGGACTTGGAATCTGGCCTTTTTAAAAAAAAAAAAAAAAAAAACCCAACCAACCAAAAACAGATGCTGCATAATGAATTTACAAGCTCTGAGGTGAAGGTGGCAGGTAGTGCTGACATATATACTTCCTTAAAACAAACTGAAAATTAAATGCAAGACACTGCAATGTTAAGGCTGCAGACTTTAAATCAAAAAGTTAGGAAATGCAAACATTCAGGTCCTACCAGCAATGTTAACTTGCTTGAACTGCACTCATGTAGTAGTATCTATCCTGTACTTAAAAGTAGCTTAATGTAGTACTCTTACATTATTATTTGTATTGCAGTAGAATCTAAGGACTCCACTCCTAGACCAGGACCACATTGTGCTAGGTACTATACAAACAGAACAAAAAGTCCTAAAAAAAAAAAAAAGAGCACCATAAAAGCAGAAGGATATGCATTGTGGTTAATGCTAAGATGGTACCTTAACTTTTGCATTTCCCAACAAACATTAATTATATTTTAACATTGCCCGAACCCTTTTTGCATTTTTTTTTAATATATGGTTCACTATAAGAATAACATTATTTTGCTTAAGCTGATAACTTCTCTACCATACAAACAAGAAAAATTAATAAACTACTTTTATTTTTATGTAGTATCAGCTTTGCATTTAATTGCAGATCACAGGCTTATTAAAATAGCTTATCAGTTCATACACACCATTAAGCACCCACACACTGTGTGGGTACATGATATGCACATTTAATGTGTTAATTAAGGCTCTGATCCTGCAAACACTTACCTACGTGTTTAGGTGTGAACTGGAACTGGGCCTAAGGTATTAAAAGTATACACTTTAACATTTCTTTAAATTTTTAGTGACTTATTGTACTTATTTCCCTCTTCTTTCCCCCCCTCTAATTTCTCTGTTTTAAAAGCATATTGTAGTCTTTTCATGCCAAAAAGACACACTGCCAATTTCTTTTGTTTATGGCATGAAACTAATCCTTTTGTTTCTTTGGGGTTTTTGTTTTAAATAACCACTACACCCAAACTAAGACTGCATGTGTGTAGAGGTCACAGCATTTAAAGCTTCTTTTGAAGCTTCAGTAACAAAGCAGCTGGAGATGGCAGTGACTTCATCTTGAATAATGTTTGCATCTGCAAAATGAAGGTAGCGAAGCCTGATAGAGCATTTGTCAGACAGTTTTTTGCCAGACAGTTTTTTGCTCTTTAAGTTTTGTTGCACCATGTATCATGTCCGTTATCTCACGTGTCTCCAACCACTGGATCCTAATTTGTCTATCTTTCTTCTGGAAGGTTTAGTTTCTTCTCTCGTGATAAAAAACGCATGCAGACGACCCAGAAAAACGTTCACTTCCAGGATACTTTTGGCGAATGGGCAGATTCAAACAAAGATGACTCCTACACTGAACAAGGCCAAGAGGCTCTTCAGCATCTGTGATTAACACTCCAAGCCGCGTTGCTTACCACAGTAGATCTGAACATTCTAGTAACAAGAAGCTTCCGTAACCAAATCTGGCAGCTCATCGTTTTTTATTTGCCTGGCACACGTTGCCTGTTTCAGACGTACTTTTTCCAAAGGGATTCCTCAATGTTTACTTGGTGACTGCTCTCTGAAAACAGAATCCAGGCTCTGTAGTAAGGGTTATTTATACTCTGGGGGTATCAAAGCTTCTAGGTTGTGTGCTGAATAACAAGTCTGTCTGACTCTTGCATTTAACTACAGTAACACACGCTTCTTTAAACCAAAAAAACCCTGTGCCATTAGAGGTTTATTTGCATTGAACTACATCTATTAGTAAAGACCCTGATACCATGTTTATGTTAACTGGGGGGAGGGAAGGGGAATTTTTCTTAGTTTTGTTAATGACACTTTCAAAAATAGAGAGGTTGCAGTGTATACACTATTTCCAGGGCAGGACCTACCACAGCTGTATCCTGTCAAAGTCACAGGTTGCAGAGAAACTACTTGGAATGTCAATTGATAACAGTACAGAAACTGGAGCAGCTGTGAGGAACTGTGATTGTATATCCCCCCTTGTTGTTTATAGTGCCTAAAGCATGTAGATACTGATGTACAAGGTGAGTGTGCCTTGCCTTTTGCTCTGAGTTATGCAGTATTAGCAGCAAATGAATTGCTCACACAGAGGAATTCTAAACACTCTGCATTTTGTTTTCTTCTTTGTACAGTGCCCTTTTTCCTTCCACCCTCTCTCTCTCTGTAGTAGCAGACTTCTGCCGTACAGGAAATAGATCACTTTCCCACAAAAGGCTTCGAAAAAAGCCCCAGGCAGCACTTTTACAAGTTCTTATTCCCTAGTTGAAAACCATTTTAACACACCTATAGTGGAGGTTTTAAGTCAGATGTTACCGCCTTTGTTCTAGGTAGAAACAATCCCAACCCCCATCTCTCCTCCGCACCGCCCCAAAATTCTGTTGGGACCATAGGGATAATAGACTCTAAAACCTCCATCATGCAGGCTATTCCTTAAGCTAACACACATTATACTGCAGGGGTGCTCTGTATGGACCCAGGGAGAGAACTGTTCTGTTACAATGGAGTTCAAGCCATTCTATGGGCTCAGCTGTACTATCAAAAGAGTCATGCTACCGCACAGTTCTGCCACAGGTGAGACACAGCTGCATATATTTGCCTATAGGCTTGTCTGCCCTAGAGTAACATTCTTTTATTTAAAAAAATATATATATCCTAACAGGACCTGTAGCTGCTGCTGCCACCCTTTTAACAGCATAGTGGTTGGACAGGAGCCCATGCTAAACTACAGCAGCAATCAACACCCTGCGTATACTAAAGCTGCTGCTGCTGCCTCCAAACCCGCGAGGAAACGTGTCAGCAGAAAATAAGCTTTAGAGAGTTTGTCAAACACTCTTCCTTATTGTGACTGCAGACTTGTCTTCTGACCCTACAGACTGGTTTAATACTACTGTTTGTGGATTTTAAAAAAAATCCCTATACATACAGGCCAGGGAAACTGTGCTAGAATCCATCTATAATTCAGCAGAGCTGGGAAACCTGTTTCAGCATGGTTCAAATGCTCTTCTGTTTTGTACTCTAAATGGGAGCGAACTGTGCTATGACCACGGGCCCTTTCCCCTCTGCAGGATAATGTCACTGTTCCCCACATCGACCCCTGCCAGGGTTGGGCTTTTCAGTGAGGGGCCTGCATGCACTCGCAGCTCTAAATGAGGTCAAGGGCAGGCCTGCTCTGTATCTTGTATCCTTATAACTACATCACTCAGGAATGTGAAGAATCCACACTGCCGCGTAACACAGTCCTAGCAACCTAACTCCCCGTGGAGACAGCAGAGCTTCTCCCATCGACATTGCTGCTGCCTCTCGCAGAGATGTACTAATTACACCAATGGGAGAAGCTCTCCTGTCGGTGTAGTAGCATCTTCAGTGAAGCGCTACAGCTGCAGTGTTAAGTGCAGACCTACCCTGATTTTGCAAATTCCCAGTGATGTCTCATCCTGACACATTCAAGTACATAATTCCTTAAGAACCCCTCAGATTAGTTCTGTAGAACAATTCCAATAACTGGGTGGTTGGTTATGCTTTAGCCTGTAAGGCCATGTCCACACTGCAGCTGGGACCAAGTCTCCTAGCCCTGGTAGACAGACTTGTGCTGGCAGGGCTCAAACTGGTGCAGTAAAAATAGCAGGGTGGCTTATGCTGCTTGGGCGGCAGCTCAGGCATTCAAGCGAAGCCAACCCTAGCTGCTGGGTATGAACTGGAGTGACTAACCTGAGTCCCCACTGGAACTGCAATGTCCATGCTGCCATTTTTAGCACACTAGCACAAGCCCCAGGAGCATGAATCTATCTGGCCTGGCAGGCTCGCTCCCAGAGGCAGAGGGGGAGGGGTCTGGTACTTGAAACACATCCCCATTTGAGATGCTGATAGCAGCGTCCAACACTAGCATTTTATGAAGGCAGTGCAATGAAAACAGAACCAGATTTAGACACACTAACGTAACTTATGACCTATATTTGTCATCTTTTAAGAGAAGCCACACCTACAGAAAGTATCTCCACTACCTATTTAAAATGTGGATTGGGCATACACTTTGTTTATGCTTAGGCCCTTACACAAAATGTGGGAACAATAATACTTTCCAAGTTTCTAGGATAAGTTGGGAAAATAAATGTAAATGAAATCAGGAAGGTACTGCTATTGTATGATGCATTTAAGGTCTATGAAATCTGGATAATGACCCTTTAATATATTACTCTCTATCGTACTTTTGTTCCTCAGCTTCAAAAGGAAAAAAAGCAGCTTCCCAAACTGTTCGGAGTTCCCCCTAGTAGGGAAGTGCTATAGGGTGGAGGCAGCACTTGCATACGTTATTTTGGACAATTACGGCGATAACACACCAGACCATTGCTGCTCTTTATAAACCAAGTTTGTACTGTATCCTGCTGTGAAATTCACTGTGATGTTCCTGTAAATCCTCTTTATAGCACAGTTTGTCTGGCACTTTAACAGCACAATAGCAACATTAAGCACTGCAAGAATGTAGTAGGTTTACAAACTGAACCAGCAAACCACTTTCAAAACTGTTTAAGAGCTGTGACCTGGGACAATAACGATACATAAACTAATACTTAGCTCTATATCTCAGTGCTGATCTTAAAAGAGGAAGTTTCTAGCTCCGTGTGTCAAGCTAGCCCCACAGTCTGGACACCACTGCACTACTATTGGGCCAAAGCTGCAGCCCATCTGAAACAATGTCACTAAGCAGTTTGAACGTCCCCCATTCATCTCTGTGGGCTGCTACCTTGAAAATCTAATTACTACTGAAACATAACATTAACCATTTCATTCCTGACTCCACAAACAGTAAGAACATAAGATTTGCTACAGCAATTCAGACCAATGGTCCATCTAGCCCAGTATCCTGTCTTCCAGCAGGGGCCAGTGCCAGATGCTTCAGAGGGAATGAACAGAACAAGGCAATTTATCAGGTAATCCGTCCCCCGTTGGCCAGTCCCAGCTTCTGGCAGTCAGACATTTAGGGACAGCCAGAGCATGGAGTTGCATCCCTGACCATCTTGGATAAGAGCCATTGATAGGCCCATCCTCCATGAACATATCCAATTCTTTTTTGAACCCTGTTATACTTTTGGCAGTCAAAACATCCCATGACAACGAGTTCTATATGTTGACTGTGTGTTGTGTGAAGCACTACTTCCTTGTTTGTTTTAAACCTACTAATTTCATTGGGTGACCTCTGCTTCTTTGTTATGTGCAAAAGTATATAACACTTCCTTATTCACTTTCTTCATCACTCATGATTTTACAGACCTCTATCATATCCCTACTTAGTCATCTCTTTTCTAAGATGAAGAGTCCCAGTGCTTTTAATCTCTCTTCATGTGGAAGCTGTTCTATACCCCTAATCATTTTTGTTGCCCTTTTTGTACTTTTCCCAACTCTAATATATCTTTTTTTGAGATGGGACAACCAGAACTGCACATGGCATTTAAGGTGTGGGTGTTCCATGGATTTCTATAATGGCATTATGATCTTTTTGATCTTATCACTTTCCTAATGGTTCTTAGCTTTTTGTTTTTGATCGCCACTGCACATTGACTGGATGTTTTCAGAGAACTATCCATAACGACTTCAAGAACTTTTTCTTGGGTGATAACAGCTAATTTAGACCCCCACGAGATTGTGTGCATTAATTTGCATTTATTAACATGTAATTTCATCTGCCATTTTGTGGTCTAGTGACCCAGTTTAGTGAGAGCCCTTTGTAACTCTTTGCAGTCAGTTTTGGACTTCATTATTTTGAATAGTTTTGTATAATCTGCAAACTTTTCCACTTCACTGATTACCCACTTTTCCAGGTCATTTATGAATATGATGAAAAGCACTGGTCCCGGTACAGATCCCTGAGGGACCACACTATTTACCTCTCTCCCTTCTGAAAACTGACCATTTATTCCTACCCTTTGTTTCCTATCTTTTAACCTGTTAGTGATCAATGAAAGGACCCTCACTCTTATCCCATGACTGCTTACTTTGCTTAAGACCCTTTGGTGTGGGACCTGTTTGGTCAAAGGCTTTCTGAAAGTCCAGGTACACTATATCAACTAGAGCACCCTGGTACACATGCTTGTAGACCACCTCAAAGAATTCTAATAGACTAGTGAGGCATGATTTCCTTTTACAAAGGCAGCGTTGACTCTTCCCCAACATACTGTGTTATCTATGTGTGGTAATTCTGTTCTTTACTATCGTTTCAGCCAGTGTGCCTAGTACTGAAGTTTGGCTTACTGGCCTACAATTTCCAGGATTGTCTCTGGAGCCTTTTTTAAAAATTAGTGTCACATTACCTATCTACCAGTCATCTGGCACAAAGGCTGATTTAAGCAATAGGTTACATACCACAGCTAGAAGTTCTGCCATTTCATATCTGAGTTCCTTCAGAACACTTGGGTGATTACCATCTAGTCCTGGCCATTTATTACTGTTTAATTTATCAACTTGTTCCAAAACCTCAACCTTTGACACCTAAATCTGAGATGGTTCCTCAGATTTGTCACCTAAAGATAAGGGCTCAGCTGTGGAATCTTCCTTACATCCTCTGTAGCGAAAACTGATGCAAAGAATTCATTTAGCTTCTCCGCAAGGGCCTTGTCTTGAGTGCTCCTTTATCATCTCAATCCTACAGTGGCCCCACTGCTTGTTTGGCAGGCTTCCTGCTTCTCATGCTTTCAGCTAACGCCCTCAGATGGAGCAGTCCTCTGAAAGGATGTTGCTGGGGGAAGAGCTACTCTCTTTGAATAGACAGAGAGTTGAATATCTACCATGTAGCTTCTTGACAGATTCAAGTAAATGCTCTTCTTTTAAAAGTCAGCTAAGAGGCTCAGCAGTCCTGTATTCACTGTGCAGAATCTTTTGAGGTTTCTTTGGTCCAAAAGTAAATCTTAATAATCTAATAAATATTTCTGACGGACTTGCTGTGTGCGTGTCTTAGGTTATTGGGTGTTGAAAGACCGTGTGTAACGTGATCCTGAGTGGGTTGTACTCTTTTGGCACACAGCTGAGGGGTTTATCTTTTCTTTACACATTCACAAAGCTTGTACTGCTCCTCATGCAAACTAAGTCTCCTTGAACTAAAGTGAGAGGCTGGCAGATCAGTAGAGGGGAAAGCCTGGAGGGGGAAATAGTGCAGGTTTGAAGGGGAAGCTACTATAGGAGATTTCTATTGTTCCTGCCTCTAAAACAAACTTTCACCACTGAAATAAGGACTTTGAGACAATGGATCAGATGCTGGACCCCCCTCCCCCTCTTGCCACACACACTCACACACCCCAGCTTCTCACTGTGAAGGAAAATCCTTGGTTGATGCAGGAGCTGCGTAAAAGCTCCAATGTCACTCCTATTCTGACCCTTGGCTGGTGTCCCTGCACCACCCCAATCCCCAGGTGCCAGAGTGGCCCTTGGAGCCCTGGACAGCTGGGCATAAGTTAGGGCCTCTACGCTGCCCTAATTTACACTAAGGCAGAGATTCTTAAACTTCATTGCACCACGACCCCCTTCTGACAACAAAAATTACTACATGACCCCTCGCCCCCTCAAGCTTTGGCTTCAGCCTTCAGTGGTGAGGCTCAGGCTTTGGCTTCAGCTTGGGCCTCAGCAAGTCTAACACTGGCCCTGGGGACCCCATTAAAATGGGGTCACGACCCACTTTGGGGTCCTGACTCCCAACCCACAGTTTGAGAACCACTGCACTAGGGACTGAACTAGCCTCAAGATTGAGCAGTAAGCATAGGGAGATCTAGGCCAGAGTGTAAACAATTAGTGACTTTATTCAGAGGCCCTGGCAAGATAACATTTGGAACAGTTCTGGTCAGAATGTTGACATAGTTGCTGCTGCCCGGCTTTCAACAGGGCCTCTCCCTACTAAACACGAATATGCTGAGCTCGCTAGAAGCGAAACTTCACCAGTTCTAGCACAAAACGCCTTTATCTGCCCTACACTTGTAACAGAGGTGGGGGAGTCAGTTACAACTAACAGCCGTAGTGCACACAGCAACCAACCCATCCCCAGAAGCAGATTAAAATCCTGGATGGGTTGGGCTTTACTCTTGTTAGGAGGCCATGGTTTGGTTCCATCTCCATTACAACTTTTAACCATGTTATAGCCAGCTCAGCTGTCAAGGGGGACGGACTGACCCAGAAAAGAATTTTGCTGCTTTGCGAAATAGCTGGGGTAGGCGTAACCTCAGAGTTGTGCTCTCTAGGCAAGAAAGAGCAAGTGAGGTGCAAAAGGAGCAGGAGACAAGGAGGGACAATAACAAAATTATAAACTACATCATTCTTGCACCCACATGGGAGCAGCACCCAACAGCAGTTGTGGAGGTACAAAGGGTAGACAACAGGTTATGTGGCTGTTGTATTACATTGCATAACTGTCCCACTGACGGGTCCCGGGACATCATTCTCAAAGCTAGAGCAGGAGTTTCAAAACAAAGGGATACACAGATGAAAGTCTGGTCACTTTGCTTTGATTGGGAGCTCTCCATAGACTTTACATTGAGATGTGCCATAGCCACAACAGCTGCTGGAAATTAACCTGAGAAGTCACGTGATCTGCAATCCACCCTCATGTATCTCTATGTCTAGAACATACAAGTTCTGCTAATTAAAGGGAAGGACTGAATGAAGGAGGGAAGCAGCTCTCCATGAAAAGAGATTTCCTAAGGCATGTTTCCCCATTGCACCCAACACCAGTCAAAAACACTATTTCTAAACATCATGTCTATCCCTATATCTCTCAAGCAGCTGAATCATTTCCTATCTTTTTTAAATTGTGTGAAACATTTGCAAAAGCCAAAGATGATGATTTTATAGATATTTCTTCAATAGGTGACTTCATTAGTATGTCACGTGAGCACATGGCATATATAGGAAATATTTAGGGACTGAGCTCTCTCATATACAAACAAGCCGTTCTCTGAATAGCCAAGAAGCCTGGGCACACATTTCATTTTACATCTCACTGAATTAGGTGGGAATGCAGGCACATCTGTAAGTCTGGTATTCCTTACAGAATGCTAACAAGTATGGTGTGCTTAAAATTTTTTTAAACATTTCCTTTTTATTTCCATAGGTACACACAACTTGTACATTCCATTGGGTCTCCCTACAGCATAGTATAATAGAGAAACCAGAGCAAACAGTGATTACTGGTTCCTTAACGTTCTTAGAAATGGAACTACATAGAACCAGATACCATCAGATGCAGTAAATGAAATACTCTGTGCTTTCCAATGCTTTTACTTCCCAGATCCTGCTACCCCTCCACCCCGCTCTATAAAACACAAGAGTGAGACTTTGCGTAAAGAAAACATCTGAAGAGCAACAAATAAAATAACTGGCTGTCTTAAGATCTGCCTTCTAACATTGACTAAACTTGTTTCTCTCTCTCTCTCTCCCCAAGCTGCATTTTCTTGTTTGAACTGCTTTGCTGTAAATAATTGTCCAGGAAGGGTCTTCCAGTTATCTGACTTCTCTGTCTAATCAGTTCATCTTTAGGTTAAAACTACATGACATTTCAACATTCACAATAAATAATAATTAAAAAAAAACTTTTGCTGTGAATGCCCAGTTCTGGCTCTCCTCTTTTTCCTGTAGGACTCCTGTCAGTCTCTGGAGGGCTGGGACTGTGATACCAATCCCAGCTGCAGCTCTCTCAGCTCCAAGCTGAGTGAGTGGGGGAGGGCTACGCTGAACGTAAGGCAGTATAAGGGCCCATCTATAGAGGTAAACTACTGGGTAAGGGGGATCATGTCATAACAGAACTGGGGCTCTGTCCCGTTTATAACCGATGTTGGCCTTGCCTATATAGAATGGTTTGAACCATGTTAAGGAATCCTGCTACAGTCCTGACCTCCAGAAGGAAAGGAGAAAATCACTGCATGGTTAGAATACATCCACAGGAAGATTTGCTTCCACATAAAGAACATTTTACATTTAACAAGGTGGGGGTGGGGAATCAAACCAAAGAAATAGCAGATACCACATAATACATGAGACAAAGAACAAAAGCTCTGTAAATAAGAGATCCGCAACTCAACACAGGTACAGGTTACTGCAGGAGTCATTGTCCCCTCTTTCTGGCAAAACCACCATAGAAATTACCTAAAGGACAATAAACCAGAGACAATGGGCCAGCCGCTTGGCTGGGGCAGTTCTGCTGAAGACAGCGGCTCTGTCCCACTTTACACCAGCTGAGGATCTAGTTCCAGGAAATTAGCAGGGCTCCTTGCAGGCTGGAAGCACACAGCAAAGCCACAGGTTGCGTCCCAATGACCGAATCTGTTCCCATCGCTTTCTTGGGAGGCAGGCCCAGGCCTCGATTAGAACCTGACCACAGTTCAGGGTTGTTTGAATCAGTAGGTTTTGGAGGGGTCTGGCTGTAAACTTCCCCACAGTACACAGGTGTTCAGCTTATCTGTAACAAAGACACTTTCTTCTACCGATGTTTGTCGTCATCTCTCTGCTTCTTAGGGTCCCTCTCCCTGCTCCGGTCTCTTTCCCTGTCTTTTCTCTCTCTGTCCTTCCTCTCTCTTCCTCTGCTCCTTTCCTCTTTGGAATCCCGCTCTCTCTCCCGGTTGCTTTCACCCCAAGCCCACGATCGCTCCCTTTCCAGCCATCTCTTCTCTCGGTTCCTTTCAGGGTCTCGGTCCCTCGCTCTCCAGTCCCTCACTCCCTCTCGAGACCAGCTCCTCTCCCTTTTCTCCACAGGCCCCTCTCCATAAAGGTCACTTTTCATAGTTGGCAAATTGATGGGCTTTCGGAAAGGCCTGTCCCGCCCTCCAAACCGCAGCTGCCCGGATTCCTTCTTGCCTCCAAAACCACCTCCAAGTCTCCGAGGGATCCATCCTTTGAGGGTCCTTTCCAGCTCAAAGTCCACAAATATCTCATGCTGGTCAATAACCAGCCTGTTGGCATCTCTATGGGCTTTCAAGAGCGCCCGTTCCTCTTTGTACTCTATAAACGCATAGCCCTTGGAAAAGCCTGTGACTAAGTCTCTAACCAGACGAATCTTCCTAATGTCGCCATACCTGGAAAAGGCTTCCTTCAGCTTCTCCTCTGTGGTTTGTAGATTCAGTCTCGCTACAAACAGAGTGAGGTGGGGATCTCCTGTAACCCCCTTATTGGGTACATACCGTGCCAACATGGCCCTCCAGATGGCACGGTCATGGGGCTCTTCATCTGTGCCATCAATGCTCCCTGCTTTGAGAGGGTCATACTCTTTCGCTATGGGCGCCCACTCGTTCATTTTCTAGAGGGAACACAAACATCAAACACACTCCAGTGTCACTGCTAACATTCTGTATAAACGTTCACCACTACAGGTGAATTGGAAGATACAGTTAATGAGGATACTTGGCATTTGCCTATAGCACTTTCCATCCCAGGATCTCAAAAGCACTTTACAAACACGAACAAACTTACAACACTCCACCGCAGGTTGATTCCCATGTTACAGACAGAAAAACTTGGATGCAGAGAGGTTTTCAGTTTTTAGCACAGATCTGTCTGCTAGAACGCCTCCTGGATAGGCCGCGAGGGGCACAGAAAACCCTCGACACATCCTGCATCCTTGCTAGCAAACCCCCTTAGACTTTGCAGAAATGACAAAGAATCCCCTTATAAGATTAATTAAAACAAACTCCACTGGAATCCTTTTTTCAGCTAGACTCCCTCAAGCTCCAGCCCCCTGGGGAAGGCGATTTGCTCACTATGGAGGTGGGGAGCATTTGCTTCCTGATGTGGGAGGAAGCGTTGCATTATCTGGATGTATTTTAGGGGAATATCCTGCCTATGGCCTGGTACTGGGTGTATTTAAGCGCGTGTAAGAAGAGGCCAGATGCCTCCCACAGGCCGCTCGGTGGCGGCCACAGGCCACGTGCTTCTCAGCCCATCTCAGCCCCCAGCTGGGCTTTGCAGCCTTCCCCCCTTTGCCCGCTGCAGCGTGCGCAACCCAGCAGCCAGCTCGGCGCCTTCCTAGCTTTGCCCTCGGGGTCTCACGCGCTGCCGAGAACCCGGGGGACGCCCCCCCGCCGAGGATCCCCGAAATTAGTCAACGCACCCCTCCCCCCACCTTCAGCACAACGCAGGCCTCGCACATAATCCCCAGCTCTTGGGCGGCTTCCCCGAGCAGCCCACACCCAGCCCCTCTGTCCAGCCGGCCGGGGCGGCCACATACAAATCTACCCGCCCCCCCTTTACTGCAGGCGTCCCTGGTGCACGGCCCAGGCCCAGGCCCAGGCCCAGGGCCCTGTATCCGCCCGCCCACTCACCGCCTCTCCCCCGCCGCGGCCCGCTTCTCTCCGCCCCGCCCACCGGCGGCAGCCCGCGGTCCCCGGCTTCCCGTCGGCGGGGGCCGCTTCGCGCGCGCGCAAACCCCAGAAGCCGCCGCTTGGCAAAATCCCGCGCAGGGAGGGGCGGGGCGCCGTGCGCAAAGCGCAGCTCCGCGGCCGGGGGCGGGCATCGTGCGAGGGCAGCGCGTTCCGCGCCCCGGCCGGGCCGAGCCCGCGCAACGTGGCGCTCCAGAAAGGCAGACGCGTTTGCCTTCCTACCCCCGGCCCCTGGTGGAGGGAAACGGGCTGCAGATGCATTTTCCTCGCTAACCTGAGCGGGCTGGCTGCGGGGGGGGCTCGCCTTGCTGACCCCCCTGCTGCGGGGAAGCTGGCCGCGGGGGGGCTCGCCTTGCTGACCCCCCTGCTGCGGGGAAGCTGGCCGCGGGGGGGCTCGCCTTGCTGACCCCCCTGCTGCGGGGAAGCTGGCCGCGGGGGGGCTCGCCTTGCTGACCCCCCTGCTGCGGGGAAGCTGGCCGCGGGGGGGCTCGCCTTGCTGACCCCCCTGCTGCGGGGAAGCTGGCCGCGGGGGGGCTCGCCTTGCTGACCCCCCCTGCTGCGGGGAAGCTGGCCGCGGGGGGGCTCGCCTTGCTGACCCCCCTGCTGCGGGGAAGCTGGCCGCGGGGGGGCTCGCCTTGCTGACCCCCCTGCTGCGGGGAAGCTGGCCGCGGGGGGGCTCGCCTTGCTGACCCCCCCCTGCTGCGGGGAAGCTGGCCGCGGGGGGGCTCGCCTTGCTGACCCCCCCTGCTGCGGGGAAGCTGGCTGCAGATGCATATCGCTTCTTGGTTCCTCAGAGCTAAGGTCAAGCATAAGTAGTCTCTCGGCCTATCAAAGGCTGCGATCAAGTGTCTTGACGTTTCTGGTCTTTTGGCCCTGCAATGAAAACCTTGGCTGTGTCTCCTGGACCATGAAGTACAAACATTATCTTATAAGTTATATCCGTTCTTATCAGTTCAATATCTGACCCCTTGCTGGAGGGGGCTGGCTGCAGATGCATTTGCGTGGCTGCCCTCCCTGCTGGAGGGAAGCTGGCTGCAGATGGGTTTGCCGGGGCTTGCGAGCAGCACAGCAAATCCCCGCCTGGCTTAGCAGTGGCACGGGCGGAGCTGGCGCCAAGCTAGGGATCCGGAGCGCGGAATCCACCTTCAAATCCGAATCGAGCTGTATTGACCCGAGAGGGTGCACAACGCAAAGCAGCTAAGCGCTGGGGCGTTTAAATCCCAAGGGCAGCTCTGGCCCCTGCTTTAGGCTGAGCTGAGTATCTGGTTCTGTGACAAGGGGCCCCCGCCACCCTGAGGCACGTGGGTGGGGAACTGGCCCTACCCAGGAGTGTTTCAGAGTCCCTCCCCCTCCGGAGGCATCTCCATGGAAACTGCAAACGTTACCGGGGGGGGGGGGCAGCCGCTCCACCCTGGCCAGGGCTTGCTTTGTCATCCTCGTTCTCTCTGCAAAATGCAATGGGCAATGCCCAGCTGCCCTCACAGCCTGCAAAAGCCCCCCACCCATTACTTCAACACAGATCACTCCCATGCCAGCCGCGGCCCTGCCTCTGGCGACAGAGACTGAGTCTGCGGGGTGGTTTTGTCTGCGCCCCCAGCCTATCACCCTCCGCCCACCTCTGTCTCCTGGACGCTGCCTGAGAATGGGAGCAGGGGCCCCTTCAGCTAGAAGGGAAGCTGTCCCGTGTCACCCGGCCGGCCTCCCTTCCCACAGGGCTAGATTGTAACCCTTATAGCCCCTCCCCGGCCTCCCAGCCTGGTTATCTGATTGGCCCCCAGGAGCTTCCCCTGGAGGCCGAGGAGAGGACTTGGTCACAAGTTTCACGGAGGAGGAGGAAGGAAGTTGTTGAGAGTGGTGGCCGAAGCGGGCGGCAACTGCAGCAGCTGGTCTGAAACCAGCCCTCTCCCCCGTGAAGGAGCTTGACTGGCCACTGGGGCTTGCCATGCAGGGTCATCAGCACCCAGGGGAGGGAGAGGAGAAGGAGGAGCTTGGCCCTGAAAACGCCTTTGAGAAGAGCCCCTTCCAGCTGACAGCAGAGGATGTCTATGACATTTCCTACGTGGTGGGCAGGGAGATCCTGAAAATAAGCAGCGAGCCCCAGGGGGAGGTGCCCACTAGGGTCGCCCAGTTGCAGTTCAAGATAGTGAGGATTCTGGAAATGCTGGAGGCTTTGGTGAATGAGAGTAACCTGACAGTGGAGGAGCTGAAGATGGAGAGAGACAATCTCAAAAAGGAGGTGGAGGGACTCAGAAAGGAGGGTCCTCCAGGGAATGCAGAGCAGGTAGGTATAAGGGCAGGTGCAACCTCAGGAACTGATCTGCTTATTGTGCAACATACAGTTTGGGAAACAATATGGAGGCATGGGGTTTTATTAACAACACTAGTGATGTCCAGCGAAGCATCTCCATCCATTTGGCCCACCTTTTGCACGTTGACAGAGTTACAGCTCTGTTGAGAAACTGCTGCTGGCAACCTCATGAGCGTAGGCACGGTTTGAGGCGAGCAGAATTCTCAGCGTCAAAAATCCCTGCCTGATGGGAGCCCATTCTAGCACAAAACACTGGAAAACGCATTTGCTCACATGATCCAAGCCATTGTGTGGACAGGCCCTATTGGAGAAGTTGACTTTTCATCCCTGTTGAAGATCCTGGCCCAGCTGTCCAAGCAGAGACCGGCTCTGTACTGTAACATTGTAGGTTGTTGAGCCAATGTCCTGTATGTGCCAGGGCATGGTTTTGGTTGGACAGAGTCAATATGCTGAAAGAGAGAAGTTCAGACATTCAGGCCCTGATTTTCATGTAGTGTAGATGTACAATTGCACATCTGTCTTTTACATACAACTGCTCTCACAAAAGCACCTAATTTGCCATTTGCACACACGTGAAATCCTTGTGTTTGTGCAAATTAGGTGTATCAGAGGAGGAATGACCTTGTGGTTTAGGCACTTGGCTGGGACTCAGGAAAGCTAGGTTTAGTTCTGAGCTCTACTCAAATTATCTCTGTAACCTCAGGCGAGTCCCTTAATCTCTCTGGGCCTCGGTTCCTGTCTGTGACAATGCGGATAATAGCACTTCCTTTGCAAGTTTAGAGGTAAACTCTTTGGGGTGGGGACTGTCTTACTATGTGCATACAGCGCCTGGGACAAGGGGGCCCACAGGCGCTACTGAAATACAAATAATAATTATTTTGCACCTAAATGGTATGAAAAATCAAGATTGTAAAGTCTGTAAAGCATGGAAATTACTATTGTTTGATAAACCTGATTCTTTGTCTAAGGTACGGCCTGACAGCTGCTCAGGGGCTATCTGGGCATGTTGCGTCCTTACAGTTGTTTGGTTTTTAAACTGTTGCCCTTTGTTCTACAGCTGAGCCTTGGACCAGACAAAATGATAATAGATCTCACAGATCCAAATCGTCCGCGGTTCACATTGCAGGAGTTGAGAGATGTGCTGCAGGAACGTAACCGGCTGAAAGCACAACTTCTTATTACACAAGAGGAGCTACAGTGCTATAAGAGGTAGATCACTTGGTCATCCAGTCAGCAGAGAGCACCTGTTTATTATGTGGGGATCATGTCAGGGGAGATTAGTATTATTATTTGTTTGCTGTAGCACCCACCGTGTGCTAGGCACTGCCCAGATATACAGGACGGTAACTCTTTGGCTCTCTGTGGGTATAGAGTGCCTCACAAAATGGGCCTTATTCTTGGTTGGCCCCCTTTGGCACTACAATAATAAATATTATTATTAATAATATTAATAACAAAGAAGGGACATCCCTGCCCCTAAAAGCTTACGGTGTAAGGATAAACAGACAAGCAGAGAGGGGTCAGGGAGGGGGGTTTCAAAAGGAATTTTCGATATAAATCAACCTTAAAACTGAAGTCCTGCCGGCTCTAGGTGAGTTACAAACACGTGTAATAGCACACATCAACATCTGCAGGCAGTTACTTCAACTGTGTGTGCAAAGTAGGAATTCGGGCACACAAATCCAGTGTGTAGGTATGCCTGGCTGGCCACGTGTGAGTGCAAGTACCTCATTCGCACATGCAATCATAGTAACTGCACACATGCATTTTTAATGAAAACCGGGCTCTACGTATCCCATGCCATGTGTCATCAGAGCAGGGAGGTTTCTGTGCTTGCCTTAGTTAAAATTTCCCTTCTCCTGTTGTGCAGACTGATACATGCGAGTTTATTTACCACCCTTCATCTCAGAGATGTGTGCATTTCAGTGATGCTGTATGTATAGCTGTAAAGCACTTTAGCATCCTTCAGGATGAAAATGCATATTTTGTGAGACCCTCCAGCTGAAGACTGAGTAAGGCATATACAACAAAAATCTCACCCAGGGATAAGGATTCAGTTCAAGGCAGGTGACCCAGGTGACTTCCTGGAGTGCCAGGCATGGGGGGCACCAGGTTCGGGGTGCTGTTTTTGTTGTTAGTGACAAAAGGGAACATAGAATGTTTGAAGTAACATGGCTCAGATATTCCATATTTGCTTATATATGGCATGAATAAATACAGATTTACAGATCCTAGCATGCACATTTATTGTCTTATATGACAGGGATAAATCATGCATGCAAATCATGCAAAGTCGTGAAATGGGCTAAAATGCAATAAAAAATAAGATATTCAAAAGTTTAACAAAGGGGGGCCACCGAAGATGCTCCTCGCCTGGGGCACCATTTGGTCTAGGATGGGCCCTGATTTAGATGACCTGGGTTCTGTTCCTGGCACTGCCACTGATCTATTGTGTGATTTTGGGCAAATCACATCACCTCTTTGGTTCTGTTTTCACCTCCCACTCTTTGTCTGGCTTGACTAATTAAACCATAAGCTGTTTGGGATAGGGACTGATTTTTACTCTCCTTGCAAAGTGTCTGGCACAATGGGGCCCTGATCTCAGTTGAGGTCCCCATGTGATACCATAATACAAATAATAATAAATCCACCCTGAGTACACTTCTATAACAGGCATGCATAATGCAAGCTATAGCTGAGAAGCTAGTTTCAAACCTGCCCACTCAAACAGCAGTTTTGCCAACAATGCAGTTAAGGATCCACTCCCCCAGCTCAGCGGACAGGCTGTACTAAGTTAGCTCAGTCACCCATTAATGGTTCAGTTGGTCCTTGACTCTCCAATTGCCTAACACAGCTCATTGGAATCCAAGTTACAAATTAACGATGTGAATGTTTAATTCATAAGTGGATCATGAGCTGTGAGGCTCTAATTACCAACTAGTACTGGATTTCAATCCAAGCAAATCAAAGGAAAAACAATAATTTGATTTACATGATAACCTCCTAACAAGGTGCCCAGGGTGCTGAAAAACTCAATTGACGGCATCAGATATAAAACAAAGTAGTATAAATATGGGACCTTTGAAATAAAAATTGTGTTTTAGAATGTCATGAATATATTTCTATATATGTGGCTATATAGCATGCAGATAGCACAAAATGTCACGTCCTAAATTTAAGATTCACAGACAATGTTTTAGTGGCCGGATAATGTATTATTAAAGACGTGAGTTTGTCTCAGGTGTTTTTGAAGGAGTATGGTTCAATGCCCACGTTGAACAGCACTGCTTATCTGCATATTGTGGGCTTTGATTCCCCTTAGATCTCAAGATAAGCAGAGTCAGGCTAGGTCAGTGCAGTGGTGATGGCTGTGAAGGTGTAGTCCTAAGCACCCTCTGCCTGGCCATACAAAGCCCTAATACAGGCCAGCAAAGCTTGTAGTCATGGCTTGCACTGGTGAAGCTTATCCCAGTCCCAAGGAGGGGAAATAGCCTTGGTTCAAATTCTAGCTTTGCCTGTTTATAGTCGGGGTTTGCACTGGTGCAGCTATATCCCTTAAGGCTGTAACCAGTGGACATTTCCTGTGTAGGGAAGTGGCACAGGGAAGGTGACACTTATTTACCTCACAGGGGTCTTGTGGACCTTCACTGACTCAGGCCAGAATCTGCTGTTACACCTGTGTAAATCTGAGTGACTGTGCTGGAGATACCCTGGATCTGCACCAATGTAACCAAGCTTGGAATTTAGTGCTTTGAGATCTTTGGATGGAAGGTGCTTTACAAATGCAACACAGGATTAAAATCAGTTCTCACTGAGTATTAAATCGTTACATAACACTCCATCTGTAGCTATTTAAGCTTCTAACAATTATCAATGGGGTTCTTATAAAAATATTCTAAGCTAAATTAGAGAGACGAGGTGTGTGAGGTAACATCTGTTATTGGACCAACTTCTGTTGGTGCAAGAGATAAGTTTTCAAGCCACACTGAGCTCATCTTCAAGGCTGGAAAAGAGCTCCGTCTGGCTCGAAAACTTGTCTCTCTCACCATTAACCCATTAATGGGATAGGGAACCATGATGCAGCCAACAGAAGTTGTTCCAATAGAAGATATTACCTCACCCACTTTCTCTCTCTAATATCCTGGGACTGGCACGGCTATGCCTGCACTACATCTAAGCTAAATTACTGTGCACAATTAAAATAAGAGTGATTCACTATTAGCATTAGTCCAGATTAGCTGTGTCCAGAGAAATTAGAGCTCCTATTCAGGAAACCATTTACACACCACTTGACTTCAGTGGGACTTGTGCACAAGTTAAGAGCTTTCTGAATCGCTGTCTGCATTCATAGATATCATAGTGGCTGCATTGTGCAAACCCTCGCTTTCCAGACCAGCACAGAACAGTTCCTGGTAGCATTTTTTCACAAACTACAACTGGTACAACATTCCTACCCACAAAGGAAAGGTGCAAAGACACCACACCCAGCAAACGTGACAGTGACGTTAGCAGGGTATATGGACATCATCTGCTCAGATGGCACATGGTGCCAGAATGAAGAAAGGGTTCAGTATGCACAATGGGGGTGTGGCGGGGGAGAAGTGTAGCACAGATTTAAAAAAATTCCCATCTCCCTCCTTTGCTAGTGGCATTTCACAGAGGGAGGACCAGGCTGGGCCAATGGAAAAGGAATCCACTGTCTGCAGACCTTCTGGCTCAAGCAAGTCTAACGAAGAGAAAACAATCATAAAGCGTCTGTAAGTATTGTCACTTCTCTTGAAGCACTTTATAGTGGTGGGCTGACTTGACTGGATACTTGTTCTCCCCTCACAAACGCCCCCCTTCCTCGTTATAAAAAGTTAGGGCTGTTACTGGAATCCTGAAGCCGGCAAACCTCCTGAAGCCAACCAGAATTTGGTAGCATCAGGAGTCTACCACCAAGATGCAGCGTGGGCTGGTGAATAGTGACCTGCCTGGGGAGTTCAGCAACGTGGGTTCTATTCCCAGCTCTGCTACTGATGTGCTTTTGGATCTTGGGTAAATCACTTCACCTTTCTGTGCTTCTACTTCCTTTCCCACCTCTTGTCTCGTTTTCAGTGCAGGAACTGTCTTTTACTGTGTATTTGTACCCCACCTAGCACAGTAAGGGATCAAGGGGCTACAGTAAAACCCAGATTCTTACATTGTAGTGTTTCCAAACTACTGAAAGACAATACCTTCCATTGATAACAAGGACAGTTAACTCTTTTTGTAACATGTATTGCAATGATATTAGTGACAGGAAGCCTGGAAAGATGACACGAGCATTAGAAATAGTGACAATGATCTTGTAGCTCAACTGCGAATGCTTCTGCTTTGATATCTGAGGCTGACTGGTTCAAACTGCAGCTGTGCATAGCTCCTCTCTGATAAACTGGTAAAAATAATAGCTGCTTTAGTTAACTTTTATGTGAGTTAATCTCATGACAGGGATAGTCTGAATTAGACCCAGACAGGATGATGCTTTGTGTAAACAATGTTAACTAAAAGGTATCGGGCACAATCTCTAACTAGTAGCAGTGCCTGTATGAGGAAAGGGTTTCTTAAGAACGGGCCCAGGTCAAATGCATGGCCCAGCTTTCAGTTCTCAGTTTCATATTCCTAGAGGTACTTACGTTTTAGACCACTTTATAAACTATATCAGTGCAGCACCCCTGAAACACTGCATCAAAATAACAGTAAACTATGGTACCTTTGAGGTGTAGAACTCAAAGTGCTTTATAAAGGTGGGCATCAGAATTTGAGTGAGGGGAAACTGAGGCACGGATGAAGTGACTTGCCTGAGGTCACAGCATGTCAGCAGCAGAGACAGGGAGAGAACCCAGTTCTCCTACATACCAGCCCCATAATCTATCCCCTGGACAGCACTGCTTGCTTCACATACTAGCACAACAGCAAAGGGAGGAGTGATTTTGCCCCGTGCCTATGAAAAGCACCCTATGAGGCCAGATCATCCTTGCTACACAAACAAGCTTTCAATTAAGGGCTCAGCCCCAGGGACACATGAAATTGCATGGCATTTATTTATTGTCTTGGAGTTAGCCTTCTTGGTCCAAGAATTTCCAGCCTTTCAGAGCTAATCATTAAGCTGTCCTACCCTGTAGAAGGCCATTGCCTCCCCTGTGAGTACACTAAGAATCTCCACATTGTGTTGTTTACTGACTATCCACCAAGGTTTGTTTGTGATGGGATTCAAGTAGCTGTATGCAGCGGGAGCGTGCTCAAGCCCTGCGCTTATAGCTCCTGAGAGCAGCCCAGTGTGCAAGCAGAACAGGCTCAGCTGGTGGTTGTAGCTTTTCCTTTTTGTAAGACACTTCCCCCCTCCCCTTTTTGCTCCAGGTTCTCTTTTAAATACGGAAAACGAATATGACTGAGAATTTAGCCACTTCTGCTCAGAAAGTTGCAGCATATAAAGCCCTTGAAAAGGAATTAAGAGAAGAAGCATTTGAAGGAAAAGCAGCAGTTTCACTGTAGAGAACAGGCCACATCTCAAGAACAACATGTATTTGTATACTACTTTAAGATTTTGCTTTATAAAATAACATTTCTTACAATGTTTATATTACGATGAAAGTGTTAATTTCTCCTCTTGTAAAGAATGGCATATTTCCTCTAGACATATCCAAGCAGATGGAGTGTGGAATAAACCTTTTCTATATAGCTATTTTCAGTCTTTCGAAGAACCATACCAAAATGTAGCCTACGGAAGAAAGAATATTAATTTTTCCACTCACATCTCACTGTCTGGGCTAGGGGATTTTCAAAGGCTAGAATGATCTTGCTGATATTTTGCTAGTTACACTGTCTGCAAAAGTATTCATAAAATTAATTACCAAGACTGAAAAATGTTTGCATTTAAATTTAGTGTGGGTTTTGTTGTCAGTGATCTGACACCAGAAATGTCTATCTCTTAAAGCAACCCAGAAGCTGAAGCAAACTGGAAGTTGCCCAGATAGTGGCTGTCTTGTAGTTTGTATTAAATTAGTTTGATGTCCTCTGTTCAGCAGCCTAATGCCTACCACTGAGGCTACTATAATTGGGAGTAACTGACACCTTTAGCAGTAGACACACAAGCCAAGCATTGGCTAGATTAGGGGTGGGCAAACTTTTTGGCCTGAGGGCCACCTATGATTATGGAAACTCGTATGGTGGGCCATGAATGCTCACGAAATTGGGGGTTAGGGGGCAGGAGGGCTCCAGCTGGGGATGCAGGCTCTGGGGTGGGGCTGAGGGTTTGGGGGTTCCAGGCTGGGACTGAGGGGTTTGGAGGGGGTCAGGGCTGGGGAAGGGAGTTGGGGCACAGGAAGGGTTGGGGGGCAGGCTCCAGGCAGTGCTTACCTCAAGCAACTCCCAGAAACAGCAGCATGTCCTCCCTCCGGCTCCTACCCAGAAGTGCAGCCAGGTGGTTCTGTGCACTGCCCTGTCTGTAGGCGCCAATCCTGTAACTCCCATTGGCTGTGGTTCCCAACTAATGGGACTGCAGAGGCAGCACTTGGGGCAGGGGCAGCATGTGGAGCCCCCTGGCTGCCCCTATATGTAGGAGCTGTAGAGGGGACATGCTGCTGCTTCTGGGAGCCCTGTGGAGTAGAGCAAGACCCCGACCGCGCTCCACCGCTGGAGCACCAGAGTGGGGCAAGCCCCGGACCCCACTTCCCAGCAGGAGCTCAAGGGCTGAATTAAAATGTCTGGAGGGCCGGATGTGGCCCCCGGGCTGTAGTTTGCCCACCCTTGGGCTAGACCATGGATATAGAACTCTCATGGCTATGGGTGATCCTTCAGGTCAAAAGTAAAGCAAGTTGTAGCAGAGTATTAACACTGTTACTACATGCGTTCATCCTGCTCAGTGGATATATAGAACTTCAGTTAGTAGTGAAACCTTTCAGAGACAATAAATATATTCTTGAGCTATAGCACATTCTACACTGACTCCTCATAGGTACTGAATGGGAAGAAAAACACTACAAATTGAGAATTCTAGTTCTGCGAAAATAATCAGAGTAAAAAAAGCATACATTAAATGAGCTGCATATACAGAACAGATAAGAGACAGTAATGTTAATTATTTAGCTGCAATCCACTACTAAATGAATTTAGGTCAAACAGATGGAAGGTAGGTGTAGGGGAGATAATTAGTATCTGAGGTTTGTGCTATCATCTACATCTAGAAAGACACAGTTATTTTAACAGCATTAGATACGAGGCTGATTAGACTTGTAAACAGTAGAAAAAATTAAAAGACTCAAGAATATAATCTTATTGCCTTTCAAAAGGGAAGTGAATTCTAAGATCTCCTTTGATTCCCTTTTATATACTAGCAGTAGACAGAATATAGGTCAGTTGATGATACTGCATATCTATACTTAGTAACAAAGCATGCCTGGTAATATGGCTGCTCAGAAGGTATAAAAACCAGCAGTGTCATTTTCAAATGTGTTCACAAGCAATGGAATGTTAGTAAAACAATATCAAAGATGCCTAACTTGGAAAGATTTGTCTATATCCATCCATTGCAGAGAACTGGAACACAGGGCTTGCCATCTTCAAAACATTATTACACTCCAACATTGGGGATGCTTCTTGTATAACCCTCCTGGGTCTGAGAGTCATTCTATCAAGTATGAAAGAGTCTATTGGGCCAACACATCCAAAAATAAATAGTCTAATTCTGTTTGTAACGCAGCCATCACATCAGCAGTTGGTGCTAACAAAATTAAAGCATAACTCTCCCGCAAAGGTCTGTGTACTCCACCACGCCTTCCTGTTACTGGGAGGGAGTGTTCATGAATATTTCTAATTCAGTACTGAGGCATGCTGCTATTAGGAAAGCAATTTGGGTGAGGGGGTGGGAGGGAGGAGAGGTGGTAAGATCTACTCAGGTTCTGAGTTTCTTATAGGCTAGCACTGCGCAGGAGGGATAGCTATGAGAAAACTGACAGCTCCAGCATTCCTGAGGAAAGTAGTTATCCCCACTGAGTTAAATGAAAGGGCAGCCCCTCAGAGAGAGGTCTGGACCATTAAAGATGAACTCCAGACCATCTGAAGTGGAGCCTGTAAGGAACAGGGAGACAATGCAGCATTCAGAATAGAGTAAGTGGTTGCAATCAGCCCATGTAAGTAGTAGATGAGTTCCTCAGTCTATGGACAGTCTCAAAGCCTCCAATAACCTGCATCTGGCAAACTGACCAGTTCACCACCACCACGTCCATCTAGTCCTTACAGTTAAAGGAGCCGATACAAGAATATCTGCCTTGAGCCTGAAACCGCAGCTCAAAGATGTTAGCTCTTCCATTCATTTCAATGGAATGTTGACACCAAAGCCTTGTCATTGCCACTTAAATATTAATATCTTTCACATTGAATTTTAGCAGTAGAATACATCTAGAACATTTCCCCCCATGATCCCAATCCACCTTCCAACCCTTACCAGCTGCCAAATTCCCCAAACACTCCCTTTCCATCAGCCAAGACCTCCAGCATACCATGGCCAATATCTGCAATGCTATTGCATGTCAACACAAGACCATACAATATGGTGATATTTGTGGGGCGTAATGAATGGCGTATATAAATAAGGAATGCTGTACCATTGTGTTACTCGATTCCCTAATTAATGCATTCACTTCCATATGATTACCTGAAGCTGCCATGCTATTGCCAGTCTTGCTGCAGAATTCCAGGCCAATTACAAGGTACACGGGACCAGGCTAGAAGGTGTACAATTGAGGTCCATTAGCTTAAACTGCCTACAATTCCCCATTTAAAAACTGGTTCCTAATACAGTATGAGCAGGCTCCATGGCTGGGGGATTGACTGAAAAAGCTAAATCTTTGGTTTTTTGTTTTTTTAAAAGAAGTGTTCAAGACTAGAGCCAGCCTTTTCAGCTTGTATTTATAAAGTTAGTACATAGGACAGTTTGGCCCCAACCCAAGGAATCCCCGACTCAGTTATGACGCCATTGGAATATCATCAACATGAGTCGGGGGACAGGGAGTTTGTGGGAGAGTAAGATAGGGATTCTTCTACATGATAACATGCTAAAGCCAAACTGCATGTTGGTATGAGGTGGTATTCTGCTTAGGATATTGGTCTAACTGCTGAAAGACCGTACAATAGGAAAGCAGAAAACTCCATTCTCTGTGTCCCACTAGCTTTATTGCTGTGTTTCAATGCAGCAGCATCCAACTGTCAATTACAAACAAGGCATGAGTGTATTTTCATATACAAGGCAGGTAGGTATCGTTAGACCTTGTTTTACAAAAAGGGGAAACTGAGGAACAGAGGTGAAGAGTCACTTGCCCAAGATCGCAGTGAGCCAGTGGTAGAGTAAAGCACAGGTTTGTCCCAGTTCAAGTCTGTGCTCTAGCCACTAGCTGACGCTGCAGGGGGGAGAAGCTCTTTCAGAACAAGGGAATCTGCACACATTTTTGGCTTCTCTATTAGAGAGAGAAGGAACTCTACTGTGCCGACATCTAATTCAAATCCCCAAAGTAGCTTGCACACAAAATATATAGTTGATGATGGTTAGCAAGTTATCAAGCTTCAGAGACTTGATATACACATATCCTCCCTCCTGAGCTTTCATTGGATAGAGGAGACAGGTTATTTAAGGGTTAACCATTTTCACAGCTTGCTTAAAAATATCTGAGACAGAGGCAGGCACAACAGCCAATTCATTGTTAATAAATATATATTTTTTTATTTTACAGACACATTTTCTTCAAGTTTTTGTTTTTAAAATACATCACTAAACCAGCTCTCTTGCTGCTGAAACACGTAGGTTGGACTGTATTACCCTGGCTATCACACAAGTGAACACGACTGCCTGGGGTGGTATGCCCAGGAGGAGCAGCTTTGAGAACATGGAGGAGCAGAGGACATTAATAAAGCCACAGACCTCTTGCTGACACATTTTCCATCAACAAGCGTGGCTGGTGGCCTAAGGCCATCTTTCAGCTACACACATGCCAAGCATGCCTTGGCAAACATTTCAATTGATAAGAGTTCATATTCACTGTCTGGATCTCCATTGTATAGCCTTCCCATACCATGGATTTGGTTCCCCCAATAACGAGCCTGAACCTGTGATGTACTGAGCATCTTCTGCAAGGTGCTAAGCACCCTCAACTCCCACTGAAGTCAATGGGACCAGACAGTGCATGACAGCTTACAGGATCAGACCCCAAGGAATCTACTCTCTTCAATGCATATGCATAACTCCAAAAGCAAAATTGAAGATGCACATGAAGACAAGACTCCTAATTTTGGAAACACTCTAATCCACTTCCAGCATTCACAGTAAATAAATAATTCTGTTTCTGATGTGGCCAATTTGTAGAGAGAGGCCTTATTTGTTTTGTTTTCTAAAAAGCCATCTAACAAAACTCCCACAAATCAGCCACTACCTATAAAAAAGGTATGATCTCAAATTTTAGAAAACAGAGTAACGCCCAAAAAGCAATTCCTCATTTTGATGACTTGCACGTTTTATCTTCACATTTCTAATAAGCACCAACCCAGTTCATAAAAATCCAGCTCCATTTGGATTGGAGTTATGTCTCTCTGAAGAAGACAGCCAGATTGATCATTCAATCCCATTATTAGAGTGTATTTTGGTGCTTTTGTTGCCAACAAGGGGCATTGTGCTGGAAAAACGACTCCTAGCACAGACTAGTTAATGATAC